TTGTCTAGTTTTTGACAATAAGTTGATGGCTCTTGTGTATGTCGTTCTTGATGCTTTTCTAAACAGGGCAGGATTTTTTACAATGAAAATGTTCCGATTTCCTTCTAATAAAACTTCATTTCAATATTCACCTGATAACAAAATTAATATTAATCAGATAGCTATGAAGAATTGATTTGTTACAATCTTGAGAAGAACATTACATGCTAGCAAAAAAGTGGTAGTACCGCTATTTCTCTCGACTGGGCGTCTCGACTACGGCTAAGCTGTTGGCTTTCCTCCATACTGGGGGACCTCTTACTTCTTTTTTAAAAGTTCCCGGATATGTTTTGGGCATATTGGAACGTGATCCATCATCTGCTTTAGGCTGATTCGCTTCCTCGTCTGCTTTTCTCCAGACTGGTGGTTTTCGACCCTCAATCGAAGAAACAAAGATCTGTGGCATTGGTTCCGCTGATATATTGGTAAACATGCGAAGGGTTTCGTCTGAAGCAATCGGCGTGGTTGAGTCTTGAGAAAGCTTCTTAGCTGTTGCTCTCTTCCTTCTCGATCTTGTACGAGCTGAGGGAATAGTTGGCGTGCTTTTCTTTCTAGATGAGACATTCAAGAGAGGTTGTTTTGCGCGTGATCCAAGCACCGCTCTAAACTTGCTCACAACGACTTTCTTTAGCTTCGCAAATGCTCCTTCAGGCTTTTGTGGCTTTTTCCCCGAATCAACAGCTTTCCGAGGTTTCCGCCTAGAGCGCTTAAATGGAGGAAGCTCCTTGATCACTGGTTGTGTCTCTTTTGCGGGTTTTGCGATGTCTTCTTTTGATATATGCTCCTGGCTAGGGTACTGGGGCTGTGGAGTAGCAGACTGCTCTTTGCTCCCCATACTTTCCGTCGTCACACTCAGATCGGGAGTGGTTTTCACACTCAGGTTGGGGTTGGGAGTGATGACCGCGCTCTTCTTGCCTCTTTTTTTCTAAAAAATCTCAAAATATCAATGGCACATTGCATTTGGGGCAAGTACTAAGGAAACAATGGTGAGCAGAGGTGGCCTTTTTATTGTTTGAAACAAATTCTGGTTTCAAGTCTGTTACCCTTCCCACGAAGTTTTCCTGGACAGCGAATTGTGGACGTTTGTACGTGCAAAAAGAGTGTGCAAGTAAAATAGATAAAAAATAAGAAAAGATGAAAATAGGCGTAATAATTTCTAGCGCTTGGATGGTGCATTAAGTGTATATTGGGTGTGCCCGAAAGTTCGTGCCGATTTTTGTACCTATACTCAAAGCATTCAGCATAAAGATAGACAAGCACTCTAAGCATTGCTATGCGGAATTTCTCTTTTTTT